GCCTGGGTCACTTTCAAGAAAGCCTCCCGAAGCCTCGTCACGATCGATTCGCCGTGGGCTGTCTAGCTGGCCTGATTTTCGCTGAACTGTGGCTGGAACTGTCATGTCATGACCCATAAACTCGACTACCAAGACCAAAAAAAACGAAGCACCCACATCCGACCCTCCCCTCTGGCAGGTGCAGCACTGGAGTGACCCAGGAGCCACGTCCCGATCTCTTTTTGGCGGGATCTTGCTCGGGTCTTTGCGGGTGACGTGTGCACATCCTGAGCGAGGGCGTCGCATTCGCCCAGAACAACTCTCAGCCTTATGGCCATGTAGATCCTGAACTCGAAGTCTCAAGGTCTTCAGACCTTTCTTCAACACCAACTAGATGCCAGCTTCTTGAATCCTAGACACCCATCCTAAAACTGTAGAGTGTTCAGATGATAGATATCATATCGGAATACAGATCCCGAAGTCTTCCGAATACCATTTTATGCCTGGCGAAAAGGGGGGTCCCACTTGCACGTCGCATTCGCCCGTGAGACCTGGAAGGCGAATGCAAGCTGCACTTCTCACAGGCCCACGCAGTTCGGAGCAGATAAACTGAAACCCAGTGCAGGTAAGTGAACGAAGAAGGGGGAGATGGGAGATTTCCTATATGCTACACAGTGGGGACCACTATAGTGCCTCGGCAACATGTCCGCGGTTCGGTATAGCCTCTGCGAAGTGGACTGCATGCAGGCGTGATGCTTCGAGCTACGCTCCGAGAAGCTCCTGCTCGACTCGATGGATGGTTGACTCTTCATCATGTTTTGGGAGTTTCCGAAAATAGGGGGTACCTTATCTTGGGGTCCTTATAATAAGGATCCTACTATTTAGGGTGCTATATTAGGGACCCCTATTTTCGGAAACCCCCTTTTGAGTCGGTCGAGGGAAAGGCTGGGCTGTGGTTGACGTTCCTTGATGTTGGCCACAGCAGTGTGCAAACCTGTCAGATACTTGGAGGATCATGGGACTTAGTAAGTAGGGTTATAAGTCCCTTAATTGGGGTTATAAGTATAGCTACCCTAATTATAACCCCACTTACTAAGTTTCATGATCCTTTAAGTACTGTCACCGGCCGAGTGGCTGTCTGACTTAGATCACAGAGCCAATACAAATGGACGAGGACGTCCCGTTCAGTGACATTGGTCCAACGATAACGCCTCAACAGCCTAACGGTAACCTAACCGATGTATGCTCCTGACTCTTCGGATTCCTTCTTGCTCTACTCCCGGGTCTTACCTTCGAAGTTTATGCAAGGGTTGCACATGGATGCCTTAAACCCTGAAACGACCTCGTCATCGTCGACCAAGAACATGTTTAAACCCTGGAATCTGTACCCTGAAGCCCTAATCCTACATCCTACCCCCCAAAACCCTAACCCCACAAACCCTAAGCCCTAACATATACCATATACAATCTTGAACAATATTGCATATATGTACATGTATGTAAACCACCTGTGCCTGTCGCTCTGACCGGGTCCAAGGTGTCCAACCCCTTCTTTCCGGGCGTGCGCTGCCAAGGACACAGAAGACCTTCATGGTACAGGCCAGTCGCAGCGTGGCACTTGTATCAACAAAAAGGATCAACGATTCAAGGATTGGGCTTCCAATGCGTCTGGACGGTTCTCCATGCTTCCATTGCGCGAAGACCCCGAACCCTCGAGTCTGAGTAAGCCTCCACCTGAAGTTCTGTACCCAATGGAAATGCAACCCAGTAAAGGGACCCTGCCAGCCTTTGCGGCGTCCAAGATCCCAAGCGCCTAGACCCTAAAACCAAGAGATCGAGTTTCAGAAGCTTCACGAAACCTAGTTGAGGCTGTGCTTGCTCCCAGCCGAGGGCCATCTCAGACACGTCAGGGCCAGGGCCTGGGGCCAGGAGCATCGTAGATGATCACCAGCGTCAGGATCATCGATATCAACAACAACCCATCATCTGGAACTGGTCCTGAGCACCATCCTGACCATCATGTTCAGCATCATCCTGTTGCATGTGTAGTTCCCGAGTCGTCGCGAATTTCATGAGCTTCATTAGCCTCATCTTCGGTGACATCGTCATCATCGTCATCATTCTCACCACCATCGTCATCGTTGTCCTCACCTTCATCGACATGCCCATCACCATCATCAAGAGTCTCAACAACATTGAAGCTGTGACGACGATGAGGCCACTATCCCTATCAACGGCATCGCGACTCCTCACCACTGACGCAGCATCGCACTCCGGAAGGTGTTGGTGGCGGCAGAGTCGGAGGATGCCGACAACGACGACCCTGACCACTCTGCGCTCCCGGTAGACCACCATTCTGGCTGTGATGATAGGGGCAGGTTGTGACTCCAGGTGCCGATGCTTATGACGGCGATGGTAGCCATGGTGCATCCAGGTGGTCGTGGCGGTGGTGACGGTGGTGGTGGTGCTGCTGCTTCTGCTGCTGCTGGTGGTGGCAGCGCTGGCGACAGCCGTGGCGGTGGTCATCATCACCGGATGATGATGATGATGATGATGATTACAGTGATGATGATGATGATGATAACGAAGAAGCATCTGGATAGCTGTCATGATGCTGAATGTGATGAGCTCGGTGATGCCCAGGACGACCAGCTTCAAGATCACCCAAGGAAAAACAATGCGATGATCCTGAAGAACACCTTAAGCACTAAACATATTATTGGAGGAAAATTTTTCCCCCAATAATATGACACCTTAAGATATCTCTGAGCAAAAGGTTTGGCGGCTTCGCTTGTCCGCACAAGGAAAGCCCTGCTGGCACTCAGCAAACACCGCGATCATTCACTGAACTCTCAACATACACTTAACATACCATAGCCGCACATGTCAGTATGCATATACATATACATACAGCACATACACACACGCATACATACCTACCTACCTACCTACCTACCTACCTACCTACCTACCTACCTACCTACCTACCTACCTACCTACATCTACATACAAACATACATACATGCATACATACGTTTCATTCATGCATCCATACATCCATTCATTAAGTCATTCATCCATCCCTCGATCCATGCATCCATCCGTCCATCCATCCGTCCATGCATTCTTTCATTCGTTGATTTATGCATGCATGCTTGCATGCGTGCATGCATGCATGCATGCATGCATGCATGCATGCATGCACTTCATTCATCCATACATACACAAACACATACATAGCATGCATGCATGCACGCATGCATGCATGCACTTCATTCATCCATACATACACAAACACATACATACGTACACATACATACATACATACATACATACATACATACATCCATCCATCCATGCATGCATGCATGCATGCATGCATACACATACACATCTGCGTAACTGACATGCATACATACGTACATTGCATGCATGCATACATACATACATACATACGCACACGCAGACGTCTACATTGGTATACATACGTACATACATACAGACGAACACACGCGCGTGCATACACGCACACACACACACATACATACATGCATGCACGCATGCATGCATGCATGCATGCATAAATACACACACATACATGCAGTCGCTGACTTATGAATTCATTGATAGATTCATGTATGCTTTACACATATGCATACATACATGCGTACATACACACACACACACACACGCATCTACACTTGCATATGCACACACGTACACGCAAACATCCATGCTTGCTTGCTTGCTTGCTTGTTTGCTTGCTTATGTACTTACAATCATCCATCCATCCATGCATCCATCCATCCCTCCCGCGTCTATCCATGCATGCATTCATGTGTACAAATGATCATACAAACATACATACATGCATGCATGCATACATACATACATACATACATGTAGTGAAGCATGTTAGCTCTCATAAACTTCATGCCGAACCAACACTCCGGCAGCCCAGCAATCCGGGAGCCCGGCGGCTCCCACAGCGCCAAGCAGGACTGGCAAAGCCGCCACAGCCCAAAGGGGAGGGGCAAACTCAGCCTGGTGCTGTGCTGCAAACTTCTCTCCGAGCATGTCCGCACTTCACAGTTCTGAGATTGGGCCTCAACCCAAAGAGCCTCTCAACCGAAAGGCTCCGAGGGTGTGTGTGATTTTTGCACCCTCACTAGAGGCCTGGAGAGCTCTTGGACCTGGGGTTGGTGCTCTCAAGAAGTCTCTAGGACTCCCGGCGCCCAGAATTCACCGACCGGTGCCACGTGCGACCATTCAGAACTTCGCTCTGCAGCTGTTTTTTTGTCCGAGGGTCCTGTGGCTTGTGGAACTGCCGGACATGCAAACATCATTGCATCCGAAGCTCATCCGTGCTTAAATGCAGTGGAGAGATTGCATCGGCGCGTAATCCTGGAGAAGAGAACATTTGGCATCGGCCAACGCCTGCTTAAAGCTGTGCGACTAGCCACTGCGCTGTTCGAATCTCGAATTCCGACTGGGGCGTGAGCTACTGTAACTACGTACTGTTTCCCATGCTAATTACTCTGTAGCCAATTTGCCCCGCCGGCAGCAGCTCGAACCCGGACCCGGCCGCCATGCGACCGCAAGAGCAAGAGACTTGCGGGCGGCAAGCTGGTCCGTCCCGTGCCGCGCGAATTTTGAAGTTTGCAAAAACATGCAACGAATCTCTGTCTTGCAGTCATGCACCCTTCTACACTGGGAGGCTCGAGATCACAGGGCTCCCTCGGCAGAAGACCAATTCGAGTGTGCTCGCACGGGAGCCCAAAACAGTCCGAGTTGGCGAATGATGCCGTGAAGGCACTCATCGCATCGAACCCGGAACTCTCAAAATTCAGACTGGCTGAAAAAGGTGGAACCTATAGGGTAGCGCTGAGTATGAGTATTCATGAACCCTGTGCAAGGCTTGTTGGCTCACGAACCGCAACGTAGCAAACCTCACGATTATTCAGTTAGGTGAATCCAGTCTCATCTCAGGGCACCAACGTGTGTTCTACCGGATACTCAGCTCACCACCGGAGCTTGCCATCGAGGTTGTACTTCTTCAGGAGGGATGCATAGTACGGCTTCAGCTCCTCTATCTCGGGTACTGCATCGGCCTTGGAGTACAAATCGAACTTGTTGAACTCCTTCACCCACTTCTTCGTTTCCGCTTCCTCTTGACTTTCAAGGTGGCTATAGGCCCCCTTGTCATGCCAGGGGTAGAAGGAGTGGAGGCGGATCATGTTCAAACCATGCTCAGGGATGCTGCAGCCGTTGAACTTCAACATCTGGTACATGTACTCGTCATGGCCCCAGGAGAACATCAGCTTAGTGATGCCGCAGCCAGGGTGGTAGATGCCGTTGGTCGTGCTGAAGACAGGATGGTTGTAGTCCGGATTCTCACGGAACGACTCCGGGAAGACGATCGAATCCTCTGCGGGCGCGCAGCCAACCGGGAAAGTGTCACCAACAACCGCCCACTGTGGCAAGGTGTCTTTTCCCGCCATCTTTGGCAATGCCATGACCTTGCCCAGATCATGCAGAAGGCCAACCAGGTGGAACCAGTCAAACTCCTCCCCGGGCCACTGCTCACGAATGCGCTCCGCAGTCTGGAAGTCATGGATGCTATTGGGGATGTCCACGTCAGGATCCGAATCGTCCACCAGCTCATCCAGCATGGAGATCACTTCCATCACCGTGAACTCACCCTTGTTGAACTTCAGCCATTTCTCCCGTTGCTGCTGCACGAACTCAACAGTCTGATTCTGGTGCATCAGCCCGTAAGTCGCCGCCACTTTCTCCTGTCGCTCCGAGTTCTCATAGTTGCGAAAGCTGTCTCCGAACATGTTCTTGGCCGTCTGCTCGGAGTGACAGACGTTGCCCACCTCCGCCAGCTGCACCGTGCGGCCAAGCTTCCAGGAAAGCTCCGCAGCCATGGTGGCTCGAACCACACCCGGATGCCGGAGCATGGCCACTTGCTCCTTGGCATGCACCTCGCTGTTATTTCCGGCGCGCACGAGGTCCACAAACTCCGTGAGCTCGGATCTGTAGGCCTGCAGGTAATTACCGTTGGGGGAAGCTGTACATGGCCGGCGGTCGCAGGTGTCCTGCACTTGTGGCCAGCTCCACGGTGCTTGTGAGCTCATTGTGGGCTGTCAGCATTCCCGTCTCGCCGAAGACTTCGATGCGTTGGTCGTAGCCGTAGGAAGCATCGCGACTGGTGTCAACCATGGCCATCATGCCGCTGGCATACTTGAACATGACCGCACATGTGTCGATGTCGTTCATCTTTTCAATCTCGGGATGGTAGCAATGCCCGATGGCCGTGACCGACTCTGGCTCCTCTCCGTTGCTCAGAAA